TGTGCTTTTTTCTTCACTATATTTATCTGATGGCTATAGTTATTCCTTACTTTGAAAAAAAATGTTATTTAGGTTTGTTATTATTCAAACTACTGAAATAATTGGTTCATTAATCAGTTATTTCAACATTTCCCTGAGGTTCTTCCAAAGGGATCAATAAAGTTTTATCTATCTATCTATCTATCTATCTATCTATCTATCTATCTATCTATCTATCTATCAGTTAATATAGCCAGTAGTACTAGTCGTAATAGTCAGTAATACTTAATCGGTGATTTGATCAACAGAAATTTTATTTTGCGTCTATTCTGCTAATCTTTAAAGTAAAAATATTTCATGCTCCCAGCTTCACAAATGTTCCTTCTTTTGCTTGTAATCATTTTAATGTAGTTTTGATAATTTGAGGTTTGGACAAAACAAGCCTTGTGAAGTTGTGAAGGCATTTCTCACTATGTTTAGAATTTTTACAGACCAAAGAAAGTCTGTTAGTTAATTGAGAAAATAACCAGTAGATGAATCTAGATTGGGCTGCAAGGCGGCTCGGTGGTTAGCACCGTTGCCTCACAGCAATAAAGTCGCCGGTTCGCATCCCGTTGAGGACACCTGGGATCTTTCTGCGTGGAGTTTGCATGTTCTCCCCGTGCAGCGTGGGTTCTCTCTGGGTTCTCCGGCTTCCTCCCACACAGTCCTGTTGAGGTTAATTGGTGATTCTAAATTGTCCGTAGGTGTGAATGTGAGTGTTCTTGGTTGTCTGTCTCTAAGTGTAGCCCTGTGATAGACTGGTTACCTGTCCAGGGTGTCCCCTGCCTTCACCCTGAGTCATCTGGGATAGACTCCAGCCCCCCATGACCCTACTGAGGATTAAGCGATGATAGATAATGGATGGATGGATGAAGCAGCTACAGCGGTAGACGCCTTGTTTTACATTGATGCATCAGCTGAGTAGTTTTACTTAAAATACTTGAAGTACATTTTTTTTTACAGTTTTTTTTTTACAGTGTGTTTTTTGTACTTTTGGCCACATAAAAGGAGCTGAATACTTTCTCCACCGCTGAGAAGAAGCCTGCATCAGCCAGTAAAATCTATCAGTCTTTTTTCACAGCAGACATCTTGACATGTCACTGCTGGATGGCAGAAGCAGCTAAATGACATTTAAATAATGTGATTATTTACACCTGTGCTGGATTTTAGTGCATGAAAACACAGAGATAGTGTGAAAAGTGTCACTTCCACACTCTGGGGTCTCTGTCTGAAACAGACTTCGTGGCGTCACCGGCTGAGGTGGAACAAGTCACGACAAGAAAATCACATTTCTCATCAGCACCGAGTGGTAAATATAGTGTTTGTGTGTTTTTACGCCACATTCTGCAGATTATATCACAGTTAAAGTGAACCTGAAAGTTCTCGTAAACCACCCCCCAAAAAACTAAATCTGTTTACCAGATCAGTGAAGAGACGTGGCGACAATTTCGTATCGTGTTATTTCAAATATTGCAGCGCTGTCCCCAGAAGAATACATTGAACATTGCTCTCGTGTTGCTTATGTTCTGTATCGGAGCTACAGCTGTGGGGAATTCTGCCTTTACTGATGCAATGTCACCTGAAAACCCATCCTCAGTGTTCTTCCTTGCGTTCATGCTGCTTTCACTGCACCTATTCTTCTTCTGTTATCCTCTACTAATGATGACTGTCTAGCCTGGTTGTTCAATTTCCTTTTACTGTAGCTGTCAGCAGGATGTTGTAAAAGATTATGTATGCTGAGCCAACCTCCTCTATAACTAACGCTTAAATACATATGGCTGATTCTGGAAGTCTCTCTTGGGGGCGGCCATAAACATCATGTTCCCGCTCCGTGCTTAGCTAATTATGTCTGCAGTATGTTGCAGACATGGCTCATGTGCATCAATAACTGTAGGTGGTTTTTGCATTTGAAAGCGTGCATGGCGGGGTTCATACTCTAATTACGTTGAAGGGCCTCTCCAGAAATGTGGTATTGAACCTCCTTAAAGCTGTGACTTTTATGAGACTACAGATTAAAAAAGAAAACATATGTCGTTTGGGTAAAGCTCAAAAACAGTAAACCCTACACTTCCCATAATGCAACCTGATTGTATTTGTTAGTTGATTACACTTTCCCTTATGAATACTCTCATCTTTTTTGCTAAAAATGTGTGATTTTTTTCAATCTTAGGTTGATATAAGCCTGAAAACATCATCAGTGTAGTTCTGGCTGTAACTAAGAGACTCATTATGATGTGTCAAATCACTGGATGAGCTTTTTGAAACTACAAAATCAACCCAAATTACGTTTCATTTTCTATATATTTGCAAAAAATTCATTTCGACATTCACTACACTTCAGACAATTTGTTTTGTTTCTTTTCGTTCTGAGTTTTTGAATAAAGATCATGTTTGTGTCACTAATGCACAACATGGTTAAAAAAAGATCCTTTCCTCTATTATGTCATGCCCGCTCAGTGTTTCTGCCATGTATGGATGGTAAATAGTTGTCCAAAGTAAATAGGTTCATAGCTGCAAACTTTTACAGACATCAAAAGCTTCTATTAAATTCCATAATCAGCACATATGGATCATTTTTGACCTGTGTGTGTACGTTAGTTTGTAAAGTAATCATGATTTGTGGAAGTCAAAAGCAAGATATTTCACAAATATTTAAATGATGAGGTAAAATGATTTCAAAAGCTGGACCAAAGAAACACTCAGCCATGTGTGAAGTAAGACAGGAAATGAACACGGTGTCATTCTTGACCCGTGGTGCGCGTTAGAAGAGGTTTGCATTCCTGGACAATAGAGGGTTAAAATGACCGTGTGTGTGTGTTTACGGACAGTGATCCAGAAGCTAAGTGCATTTAGTCAAGTGAAGGTACTTGAGCGAAGTGCTTTTACTCAACTTTGAGTTTACATTTCAGGCTGCTTCATAATGTTACTCAGACATATTTCAGAGGGAGTCGTTGTACTTGTTGCCCTGTTTATGTACAAGTTAAACCTTAAAAAGCTGCTTCTGAACTGAATGCTGACAGTCTTATAGTGTCATTTTAAAGGAGCAGACATGTTTACTTTTGGTGCTTTCAGTACATTTTGCTGATAAATGTGCACTTCTGTACAAATACACTTTCAAATGCAAGTGCTTTTGGATGATGTTTAGTATTTTTTTTTAATGTTGTATTGGTACTTAAGTAAAGCAGCTGAGTTTTTCTTCCACCGCTGCAATATTCTACTTCAGGGGAAACACTGCAGGCAAAAAAATGGTTTTCTCATGCAGCGGTTGATGAGTGGATTTTGGGATATTTTGCTTCCTTTGTTCAGACCAGTGGAAAAACAAACAAACAAACAAACAGTCATGTCTTTATTTTGTTCTTTGGACACTGATGCAAATTGACACATTTTAAATGAGATAATACCTTATTTTGAAAAACGTAAAACTATAAACACGTGCCATAACATAAAAACATTTAAATCTCACTATAGACAAGTGTTAGCAGGGTTCTAGAAATAATACAATGAAATATTATACACACTGTTTTTGTTTTCCTTTTTATTTTTTATGTATGTAGCATTTATGTATATACTGTTTATAGAAGTAGTACATGTGAGTTAAGAACTGTGCAGATAGCTGCTTATGGTCATTTATTTTAGGTGGATATTGTATAATGATTTTAGATGAGGTTACAAGGGATGTCTTGTGGCTTTGCTTTCATGATGAGCACCTTGGGTGAAGATGTATAAATTGTTCTTGGTCTTGTTTTTCTTTTTTTTTTTTGGTTTATTTATTCTGTTGTTTATTTTGTTGTTATTATCATTATTATTATTATTTTGAAACTGTAAAGAAGGGGCGGAACTAGATAAGCTGTTGCTTCATTCTACAAAAAATTGATTGTCTTAATCAGCTGGGGAAGTTTTATGGTGATATCTATTAGTTAAAATAGAGGTTTCCAGCAAAAATATAAGGAATCTTATAATACATATAATATTTTCTCATTTTCTAAACCAGAAATCTCCTCTTTGGCAGCACTTACATCAAAATTTCCAGTTTTATTCCTGCGTTTTTTTTCAGTTATTATTCACATCCTAATTTATAGAACATTTAATCTAAAAACATACCAAAAATGATCATTGTTGTTGTTATTATTATTTGTAGCTGCTGACATTTTTTTTTATTATCTATATGGTGACTAAACGAGATATCAAAAATACAATACCCCTTTGAAATCCTTTGACTCCAATATGTCAACAAAATGACACATTTTGAAGCTGGCTTCATCCAATTTACAGATTTCTCTTCTGGAAATGAATCCAAATTGGAGCATTTTTAGATACACAACATCTTGTTTGCCTGTTTTCTAAAACATACATCAACTGAGAAGGTTTCATATTGATATCTATTAGTCAGAATCCTACTCTTGTCACCTGTAGTGTCTCTTGTCATTGTGAGATTCACTGCTTTCTCCCAGAGTACACCTGCCATCTGTGTGATTCTGCGCAGACTTTACTCTGTTTGGACAGAGATGTTGATTTTAAGTCATCCTGACATCCTCTCCTGCAAGCTTGAACAAGTCCAAAACCACACAGAACCACATGGAAACATCTGTGCACTCTGATCCACACAGGGAAAAAAAAACACAAGAAAATCAGCGTGTTTTCATTGTCCCTTTAATCCCCTTATGTCAGTGGCCCGTGCAGTTTGCGCATCACCCGTGAGAGGGCGCATCCGCAATCCCTGAGCTCCGAAGAAACCTCCCCTGGAACTCAGGATTGTTGGGAGTATGGAGCCACTTTAGCGAAGTGCGGACCCAAGTTCTAAGTTTGCATGAGATAATCAGCACGTGGGAGCTCGCTGAAGCTCCTGGATCGGAGTGAACGCCCGGGACGCGTTCCTCGGCTGATTTTTGTGCAGCTCGGGTCGGGCAGTTGGGTCCATTAAACATCTCCGTCCGAAAGGGGGAAACACGGAGAGAGAGAGAGAGCGAGAGAGAGAGGGGAGAGGAGGAGGACGTGAACGGAAGGGAGGCAGAAAGCAGGAGAAAAGCTGAGCTGTCCGCACGCTGTTTTTGGAGTCGTGCGTAAAAGCGCGAAGCAAAGTGAGATTAACTGGATAAACACAGATTCTGTTTTCCTTTTTTTCCCTCTGCCTTGGACACGTTCCTGCTGCTGGAGTGTAGTGTAGGAAGAGGGTGAGCCAAGCGTTGTGGAAACCCTCTCTGATTGTCCCTTTTTTCTTTTGCGTTTTTTACGCTTGGAAATTACTGGAACTTCTAGTTTTTTTTTGGACGCTAAACCGAACGAGGAAACGTTAAATGCAAATGAGGGTAGGTGACTACCGCGCTTTTGTTCAACATCTAAAAGACACTTGAAACGCTGGCTTCTCTTTCCCCCACATTGCATAGTAGGCTGTGCTGTTTGGTTCACTGAAATGTGAGACAGTGGTGAAGTCGGTACATGACAAACCGCTGCATCCAGCTGTTTTCTGTTTGCCAATATCGTAACCATCCATTCACGCCTTTTTCTTGTCGGGATCGGACGTGCTGAGAAAACTTTTTAAGAATGAAGAGGAGAAAATTCACGTCTCTGTTTTGTGGTTCCGCCGTGTGCTGAAGTGGATCTGTGTTGTTATTTCAGAGGTTTCCCAGCCTTCATGTCGAGCAGGCAGGAGAGCTGACATGCGCCTGGATCGGGGATACGGTGCGGTGACATATGATTAACAGAAAGTTGTGAAATCGCCTGATTACCGAGCTGATAAGTGAATGATTCAGACAACCAGAGCCGGTGAGGAAACGAGCGCTGTGCCTGCGTGTGCGCCGTGAAACGCCGCTTTTCAGCTCAACCACTCCAAGGACTCGGGTTTATTTGATTTTATTTTTTAATTTTGCGAGGAGAGGAGCGTCTCCGGAGCCGATATGGAGGAGTGGAGACAATGTGGACGCTGGTTGATAGACTGCAAGGTCCTGCCCCCGAACCACCGGGTCGTGTGGCCCTCGGCGGCCGTGTTCGACTTGGCACAGGCCCTGCGAGACGGGGTACTGCTGTGCCAGATGTTGCACAACCTCTCCCCCGGATCGGTGGACCTGAAGGAGATCAATTTCAGGCCCCAGATGTCACAGGTGAGTCGGTCTTGGTGGAACTTCAGATGCTGTGGGTTTGGTTTCCGCCTCCAGGCGCATGTCTGTGCGCACACTGGTTGTGTGCGTTGCTCTGCTTCTCATTCACACCTTGGAGGTTTCCAGAGGAGCCGCTGGCTTTGGAGATGTTTTGCTGTTTGGCTTGTTTGTTTGTTTGGAAAGCTCTGTGTTATTGTGCATCCTGAATTTGCCCAGTTGATGGAGGGATTTTACCCGGAAACAAGTCTTGGCACTGTGCAGAGCTGCTGTCAGTGATAACACAGCAGGTTAACACACAGTACATACAGTAATTTATGCTTTAACACATGCAGGCTTCTGTTAGTTTGGCACAGGTGAACAAAGACCTCTACAGGATAAGTGTTTGGCCTCTGCAGGCCTTAGTCAACATCCCTATTTGTACCAACAATACTCAGCTATGAAGTTATTTCACATTATTACAAGAACTGTAGTATTTTATTGCCATCCATCAATCAGGAATGTGAAACATCAGATAAATGAACTCGCAGTCGTCTTGCAGAGACAACATCTTCACATTTGCCCTGAAGGCTGTTAATTGAGTATCATCCAGTCATCTCTAAGTGGAAAAGAGCAAAGATAACAGCCGGCTTAGGGAAGAAGAGGCAAAACATTCACACAGCCGTGGTTAAATAATTTGCACCAGTTTTTCCTTTGTTGAACTTTTATTGTAGCTCCAGCCGGGTGTGGCACTTCTTCAGGCGAAATTCTGTTAAACATCCTATAAATCACATCATCAGTGGAGCTGATACCTTCCAAAAGACACTCATCTGGTGGCAGCAGTTTAAGGAAACACTGAATGTTCTGGTCAGTTTTGAGATGCTTTCCTTCCATGACATACCTTATTTCATATTAATGGAAAGAAAACATCCAAAACACACATTTAGTTTTGATTTTACTCCACTTTGTCTGTTTGAATTTGTAGATTTTAATGACTTTCCCCCCAATATAAGTATTTTCTCATATGCTGAGCCATAAATCTCCGCTTTTGTAGCACTTTCACGCACCAGAATTTCCTGTTTTATTTTCATCTATATTTACAAGTTCTTTATTGAGCGGCCTTTTGATGTCATCGAGTAGAGCCAGACCGATTTATTGTTTGGCTGACATTATCGGCTGATATTGGCCTTTCAGAGATATGCAGGTATCAGTGTGAATGTTGTCTGATATTTGCTGAAATGAAAACTGTCTTTAACAAAACATAATGCAGAAAAAGATGCTTGAAGTAATGCAGAATTCATGTAGTCACACATTTTGTCAAACAGCTCCATTATTTACAATACTGTCAACGCGCTCTGCAGCACATGTAGCAGAGAATGCTTCACAGCTGAGCATGTGGTGGTGCGGAGTTGAGCTTTGTGTTCATGATAAATTGTAAGCAAATATGCAAAAAACATTATTTGTAAGTTAATAAACAATAAGCCTTTTATTTGCCCTTTTCAAAATATAACTTGAGCATAACATAATAGAATTTCTTACTCCTGAATACCCGTATCAGCCCTGAATATACAGTATTGGCTGTGTTCTAATAAAAAGAGGGCACTTTTACATTCATAGTAGCTCATTTTTACGTTCAAACTTACAATTTTAGAGACCTTGTAATACAAATAAGTCATTGTTTTATTGCAAGTAATCAACTTGGGAAGTTATTAGTTAATATTTGACCCTCTTCATCTGTAGTTTCCCTCCAGCAGTAACAAGCTAGGAGTTATTCACCCGTGTTGTATAGCAGCAGAGGAGGGAACAGACAAACTAAAGTTTACTATAAGTCCTTTGTGGAGAAACTCAAAGAGAAAAGAAACTGTTGTGGTGTATAATTAGACTGAAAGGAACACAAGTCTACATGGTGGTACGATTAGAGGTTTGGATGGTGGATGTCACACGCCTCCGCCTCTGTAAAGCTCCCCTCTGCACGTCAGCTCATTCATGTTTCCAAAGCCAATATATGAGGAAGTGTCTGGTGCCACGAGGAGTTTACACGACCACAGCAGAGAAGTAAAAGTGTGGCAAACATTTCTATTGACTTTTATTCACCCCGAAGTCTTAACTCAAATACCGCTGAGCCTCTGGTACTGAGAAGTCTGGGAATCGGGGACTGTGAATGGATCCGAACTGGAGAGGGTTTTCTTTTTTTCTTTTTTTTGGGTTATTCTTATTGTTGTGCCCGCCGAGGCCGGAGCGGCTATCACACGAGAGCGATTGCCCACTGACAGCACATTTGTCTGATATTCTTGGCACACCTTCCGTGACCCGTTTCTGTCATAATAATGTGTGAATGTGTGGGTGTTGCATCTGTTTGTCTGCCTTCCAGTCTGTCTGGGTTTGGCTGCCTCTTTCTAGTAAACATTCCTTGATATTCCTCGCCGTTTTGGGGGAGAAAAAAAAAAAGTAAACAGATTTCCCTGGATGGAATTAATTTGGAAAGTTATTTGCAAAGGAATACCGTCTGGTTCCTGCTTCTCAGTGGTTCTCAGCAACAAATCTTTATTCTGTTTTTATAAAATCGTCAATTGAGTGCATTTGGGTATCAGGACAGTTTGTTTAGGGCTTGTGTTGGAGATTTTACCCCATTTTCTTACACTTCACACACTTAATAGAACGAAGTAAAAGCAGAATAATCAGTCGAAATAAATTAAATTGCAGCACCAGTCTCCAGTCCGTCCCCATTTTTGCCTGGTAACCAACAGTAGCCTTGACTTATCAGCTCCAGAAGCCACTGACTTCCATGATTACAAGGGAGAGAGAGTGAGGGAGAGAGAGGTCTGCATGGCATGCTTTGATCCACCCACTAATCCTGCACTCCCAGTCCCACTGAGTGGATCTGCAGCGAGGGTGGAAGGGGTGTCCTCAGTGACAAATTGGGTTAAACAAAATCCTGGCAGCAGAACAGAAGTATGTGATTTATGATAAGGAAAAAGGTCAGAGCGCATGTGCTTTAACACTCGGAACACACAGTCGGCGGCTTAGCCAAATGAAGAGGTGGTGAAGCGGAGCGATTACATTATTTGCTCGGGACAGAATTTCTCTTCCCCCTCAACAGATCCACTTTCGCGGTGATTGATAGTTTCTGAAATTGAGTTGTGTCTCTGAATATGCCTCGCTGGTAGACGTTTAGCCGTAGCGTCTTCTGATACTGGAGTAGCTGTTAACGCTGGTTGGGATTTAGGGGTGGACGATCCGGCCTGAGAGATCATATGACGACATTTCGGGGCAGAAACCACGATCCGAACCACAATGTACTGAACTTATGTGATCACAGGATTAATTGGGCATATGGTTTCTTGGATACAAAGCTGCAAAGTTCCTTCAACTCGGATATAAATGCTGAACTCACAAACTTTTGTTTTCGCTCAGTCTTTTTTTCTGAAACTTCCAAATGGAAGGGGTGCTTCTTTTTGGATGTTGGTTCACTCCTCGCTGTGTTGTCTTCTGCTTCTGTCTTCTTTTTACAAACTGAGTTACACCTTCAAGATGCATCTAAGGGTGTCACAACCACTTTTCTTAGTTCACGTATAGTTGGAACATTTGGACGGCAATGTTATTTATGCATTTTGTCGAAAGTTGAGTTGCTAACCAGGTAGCACTGTTGCATCTCTTGGTTTCCTACTTACAGGCTGGTCAGGCTACTGTTGTGGTCTTCGATGTCATTCAGCTGCCCAGTGAGTCTCTTATCTCATAGACAAACCTGAACTGGACTGTCTTCGGCTGTGATTGCCGTCTTTGTCGTACTCTCCAGCTAGAACCTTCAGAAGGTGCAGAACTGGTTCATGTGCCGCTCCACAAAGCAGAACAAGGACACCATAAAGTCCCACCATAAGGAGACAACAGAAAACCGTCCATATCAACTGTTCCGAAAGACTCACAGCTGACATCGGAGACCACCACGGCCTCTCGGCTTATCGCGTAAACAGGAGACAGAATGGTGGACAAAGAAAAGCAGCGAGTCGACCAACATCCTGAAGGAAAGCAGCAGACACAAATCACTGCTTCCAGTCAGAACTAAAATCAGAGCGAAAACAGGATGCTGAGATTTGTGAGTTGGGACTTTAGCCTTGAGTTGAAGTGACAGGCTTTGTACGATCAATCGTGTGAGGATGAGTTTAGCCAAATTGTGATTCAGATCATAGCTTTGCCCCCAAAAGACTGTGATATGACCTTCTGGCATCCAGTGTTGTGTCATAATGAAAGCCTTTTGCAGAAAGAGTAACATTCATACAAAGAGGATGCGCTTCTCCTTTTTCTAGTGAGCCATTAATGCCTGCTTTTAACAGACCAGTATGACAATAACGCTTTCAAGTTTGGCATTGATCCCAGCTTGTGCTCCAGTTCATTATCTTTGTGTTTGTGTCCATTCTGCTGAGCTCAAAGGGAAGTCATGGTGGCAACATTGAGGTCACACTGGATTGTTAAAGCGTGGCGTTGGGACAGTTAATGAAGCTGCAGCCAAACTACCACATGCTACCACCAGCCACATCGTTTTAGAGAGTTTTTCTAGTATAAATGTTGAGATTTTAATGGGGTCAGGATGATCATTTTGGCAAGTTTCTTGACGTTATGTTGGCCACCATGTGAGCCGAGGGAGGTCTTGGGCTCGAACCCAACTTGGCCTTTCTGTTTGGGGTTCCAGTGCTGAAATGATAAGTAGAACAACTAAGTAGTCAAAATTATCTGACCTTAGAAGTCATTTTTCACTGTTCCTTGCTTCTTATATGTAAAGATTTGCTGTTTTTATCTAATTATAAATGGAAAATCTTTGTGTTTTGGATTGTTTTGAGGACAAAACAAGCACTACTGAAGCATATTCTCTCAGACTCTGGAAACTTTTGATGGTTTGAGTTTTCACTGTTTCATAGGCTTATAAACAATCTGTTGCCCTAGTGCGTGTGTCCCGAGAGCTCAGGTTTCCTCCTACAAGTCTTGTAGTTTAGGTGAACTGGCCCGTAAATTGTACAAGGGTGTGAATGTGT